AAAATACTCAAAATTACTAGGAAAAAGAAGTATGGGAATAGTTTTATAGGGCTGCTCTTCCAAGTCTGCCGAGATAAAGTGTTTTTTCTCCATGTATCTCCTTTATCAGCAAGAAGTATCTTGCTTATGCCAACACCTTATTTCCCATCAGGCTCTGTCAAAAGCAAAGTTTACAAATGGGGCTACCATAGTGGGTTGAGGAAGTACCAAATATGAGCCATGGGTAGCCTCTGTTGTCTCTCTTTATGCAGAGCAGGACTTTAAACCCAAGTTTGAACAGACAGACTTGCTTTCATACACTTTTTCTTGAGTTTGCTGTCCTCCCTCTTCTGTAACCACGTCGGTTCCCTCTCCTCATGTGGATTCTCCTTAAATGATGTAGAGGGTTGCTCTTTCAAATGTGAAAAAGGTGTTGTGCAATGTAGAGGGAACATAGGAGCAGAAGATACCATTTCTTAGTAGGGTTGAGGATCCCTTCTCCTCCACTCTTCTTGCAGTACACAAGCAATAGATTACAAGTCAAATTTAATAGACAGATAGTATTCACATGAGGAATTCAAAGCAATTCGTCTGGCTTTGGATCACCCAGATTTCTCCTTCTGCAAGAGTACAGAAGTTCATGTAGCTCCTGTACACGTCAGTTCCTTACAAAAATCCAGAAAAGTAAACCACAGAAAGTTCTCTCCCTTTCTACCTTTACACATGGAGTGTTTTTATGGCTATCTCAGGTGTTCGTCACGTACCCATCATTTATGGTGGAACTGCAAACAGTTTCCCACCTGTCTGTAATTAGCTTTTGCATGTGAGGAAGAAAAAAAATCATGAAAAACAATTGTAGTCATGATGAAAACATCTTTGGATATTAAAGGTTAACGTGCCACATTGGTTCCTAGTGTAAGCATGTTCACCTAGGTGAAATTACACTGAGAAAGATCCTCAGCTGTTCAGCTTTATGAACCGGTCAACAGGAGTAGGTTAAGTTTACAGTAGTCAAGCTAGGACTATAAAAGGAACCTGCAATGAAAACCATCAGCTGGTGTTTGTTTGAATAGATAAGAGATGGAGAAAAATACTCAGGCTGTTCGTATATTGTCCTGCTGGATCTGGGGGTGTTTACCTGCAAAAGCCAACAGAAAAGCGAGTACCCATAGCCTGGAGGATTGACACTGGTATGAAAGTGAGTCTGCAGATCCTTGTTTCTTGGGTCAGAGTCAGCCTTGCCCTTACAAAATTCAGCAATTCCAGGGTGAATTCGGTGGGGCTTTTGTCCAAGCGGTGTGTGAGATCAGGGTGTTGTTTGTGCTTGGTGTGTGCTCTGCGCTTTGCAGAGCGTGGCGTGTAGAAGTGGTTTATGTGTGAGTTTCCTTGGAAAAGTGAAGTATTTGTTCTGGCGCCGTTTGGTTTTCGTATCTCTTGGCGTAAGAGCGAGCACAGCTTTTCATATGTGAGAGCTGATGTCAGAGGTCTGTGGTGAAAGTGAACTGAAAATGCACCTCTGATGGGGAGTCGGCCTGTTCATGTGATATTTTGAAGTATATTGGTTTAGCAGTCAATACCAGTGGTTTTGCTTCCGACTCAGACCTTCAAATCAGATGAGTGGTGATCAAAAATTGTGATTTTTGATCAAATAATGCCTACTGAGAGGCCTGTAGGACATAGCAGCCTTCCTTCTGAAGTGCCCTCCAGGAGCACGGTGAGGCCATGGGAGCTCAGAGGACGGAGCTGCAGCCGCAGCCTGAGCCAGGGCTGTGCTGGGATTAAACAAACTGTGCCAGTGTCCAGCCCTGCAAGCTGCACCAAAGAAAATAAATACCATAGTGTCTACACAGCTTCGCTTTTTCTGTGCATGTGTGTGTGAAAGTCTGCAGTTCACCGACCTGTTTTGCAAAGTGGTGCTCGCTGTGAGCTTGATCAGCTTTGCCACTTCTTATTTTAGCATATCCTCTGCATAAACCCCCCCCGCTCTGTTTTGCTCTGCCATATCAGTAGTTTCGATTTCATTTCCTGTATGAAACTTCATATGCTTAAAGTTTCTGTTCCATTTTTTTTTTCTTGGAAGAGAGAAAACAACAGTAAATTAAACCTCAGGGGCTTAGGGAATCTCTGATGGCTGAAGGCCTGTAGGCAGGAGTGCCCCGGCCATGCACCGTGGTCATCCCAGTACCATGGTACGGCAGCGAGGGTGATTGCTCTACCACAGCTTCGTATCTTAAAAAGTCCACGGCTCATTTCCATCACTGAATCATAATTTTGCTGACAGTTACTGCCAACATGGAGAAGAAGTCAAGAGTGAAATCAAGAGTAGCTCGCTCTTAAGTTTTAGAGCTCGTGGCTCTGTCCTCAGGGCTTCGTAACCTTTATAGCCCTGTAATGGGACTAACGCTGCTGATCGTGTGTGTGTAATAGCTGTTTTCCTGGTATGATTTGGCTGCCCGTTTTCCACCCATGGTGTGGTGGTGTGCAACCCTTCCTTCCATTAATGTGTTCTAGAAAAAAGAAATAAATCAGGTGTTGTGCAGATGTGGCACAGGAACAAAGAAGAAGAAAGTGTTGTTCTCCTCTACCGGTGGTGTTAGGATCTAGATTTGTGAGATTAAGGACATGTTTAAAGAGCTGCCGCAGGTGGGACAGAAATCTGTCCTCAGGTATTGTTTAAGTTAAGATGAATGGATGGAGGCAATAAAAACACAACTCCGTCTTTGTGTGGAGGTGGCCTGGGCAGGTATGGCAGTAGCCGGTTACAAAGCTGATCAAAGCCATAAGTTGGTATGGAAAACTTCACTTGTTTTTCCAAAAACATTTCCTCTTCTACATATATCTGATTTTTTACTTAGTTGGAAAACACGCTGAAAAAGTACAGTAATCTTCAATTACGAGAAAGCACTGAACGCTAGCCCTGGTAAACTCAGTAAATTTAAGGCTAAATTAGTTGGAAAAACAGTTGAAGAGTAAATGATTTATCCCCAAGAGAAAAATGACTTTGAAATAGTGATTTCAGACATTTTATTCCACATTTGCTTCACTAAACGGCTACTTTATTGTTTCTCTTCATAGCATGGAGATTGCTGTCTGACATTAACACGGGTTGTAAGTGCCTTGCTGTTGTGTCCCATACAGTCAATATGTTATTAATCATGTGCAAAATTCAGTGGGCACAGTGCACAGCAGTGACTAGTCAAGCTCATGAGCTTTGTGGGCATTAGGGTTTTTGCCTTATATCAGAATTTTAGAGCAAGATGAGGGACATCCCTTACAGATTTTGATGTGGTTTGTTTATGGCAGTGGAACCAGTTTAATTGACACCAAGAATTGCAACCCACTCAACAGCAGACTTTCAGAATCCAACACAAAATGTGAAAATGCGTGTCTCTTTGGTCAAAAG